TGTCTACTTATTTTTTTTTTTTAAATAAATAATTAATTCCCATATTTTGTCCTTTATTTCATTTCTTCAGTTCGCTTATCTGCTCTCGCATCAGTACTAAAGAAAAACTAATTATTGTTTCATTGTTTGTTCTCTTTCAATCAGAGGTTAGTGTTTATCAGCTTTTCTTCATGATTTTCATGGTTCTTTTATTTCGTGATTTCATCGTTTATTTTATTTTATTTTTTTCTTATGTTTTAATCTAAAAGTTGGTCTTTTTCCAATGATCTATTTGTGTTTTTTTTTTCTTGATGGGTTTTCATAAAGATTTGTGTTTTCATGAAGATTTGTGAAGTATTATGACATCCCTGCGTGAGCATAATCATATCTCTGGTTAAAATCACCAAAGATTGCATTTTTAATATGGATGACAGTGATAAATCTTGATATTTTTCTGCTGATTTTGCCCCCCTTTTATGTTTTGTACAAATAAAATTGCTAAACCCCGCAATCAAAAGATTTGAGTTGAAGCTTCTACAAAGATTGCATTTTTATTATGAATGACAGTGATAAATTGGGGAAATGCTACTGTCCCGTTACGGAACCGTTCCGTCGGGGTTTGTAACCGTTAGATCATCATGTAATCGTCGGTGATAGTTTATATAACGGTTACAAATCCCGACGGAATGGTTCCATAACGGCACCGTAGCATCTTTATATTTTTTCTGCTGATTTTGCCCCTTTCCTGTGTTATACAAATAAAATTGTTAAACCCCACAATCAAAAGATTTGATTTGAAGCTTCTGCAAATGCACAATCCTTTCATTATATATATTCATTGTACTATCTTTGTATTCCCTTTATGAATTTTGCTATTTGCTTTTTTCTTGAATGGTATATATGTAGATTCAGAGCATGACTTCTCAAAAAATGGAAAGCATTACTAATGTTATGGAGTTTGAGGCCATTGCAAGGGAAAAATTGCCGAAAATGGTTTACGATTACTACGCGTCTGGTGCAGAGGATCAATGGACTCTGCAAGAGAATCGAAACGCTTTCTCTAGGATAATGTAATGTGGCTTCATTCGTACTCACGTGAACTTATCAATGTTTGTTCTCTATTTGCTAACTTGTTTCTCTTTTTTTTTTGGGTAAAAATGAGAATTGAAGCAAATATGTTTCGTGGTGTTGTTGGTTTTGCTTTAGCAATTTGTTTCGGTGTAAGTTAGTTTATATCTTCCTTTGGTTTCCTCATGAAAAAGCCTTGTAATAACACAGGTTTCGCCCTCGGATTTTAGTTGATGTTAGCAATGTTGATGTAAGTACAACTGTTTTGGGTCACACGATCTCAATGCCGATAATGGTTGCTCCTACAGCAATGCAGAAAATGGCCCATTCTGAAGGTAACGAGCATAGCTCTTCTTAATCTTTGGCCTCTTTATATCAATTTTTCGGCTCGAATAATGTTCATGCATAAAAATTTCGTGATCATTGTTTTTTGTTGGGCAAAATTGCATTTGTAGTCCTATTGATTTTTAGTCTCAATGTTCCAACATATGGTTGGTCCTGTAATTCAATATTTAATATTTTGCTGCAATTTCAACAATTTGAGATTGAAATTGCAACAAATTCTCAGAATTTTTATTAGCAATTTAAGTCTTGTAATTTAAAATTTTGTTGCAATTTGAGGACTGAATTTGCAGCAAAATATTAAATCGGCGAAAAGTTGGAATCTTGTGACTTAAATTGCTATGACATTAACTAAAATCGCATTTTTGCCTTATTCGTTGTTACTAACTTTTTAGGAATTATGTGTTCTTACTCGATGCTTAGTCAAGGTTTGACTTTTTTTTGGTCAACCTGCTTAAGTTGACACTGTTTTATTACAGGGGAACTTGCTACTGCAAGGGCAACTTCAGCTGCTGGCACCATAATGGTTTGGATACTTTTATCCCCTCGTTTTTAAAAAGAAAACTATTTTTTTTAACTTCTTACGTTTTATAATTGATTTGATGTTTGATTTATGGTTAGACATTATCCTCTTGGGGTACGTGTAGTGTTGAAGAGGTTGCCTCGACTGGACCTGGCATTCGATTCTTTCAGCTCTATGTGAGTTTATACAAGAGTTTCATTATTGTCTTTTCCGTTTATTTTTCAGTTAATATAAATTGAATCAGAGATCTTTTTTCTGCTTTTACTTTAGGTTTTCAGGGACAGAAATGTCGTTCGGCAGCTTGTTAGAAGGGCCGAAAATGCTGGTTTTAAAGCAATTGCTCTTACAGTTGATACACCAAGGCTCGGGCGAAGAGAAGCTGATATCAAGAACAGGTTATTTTTAGTCACCGATTAATTTGTTTCGTTTATTGAGTCGAATATATAGAAAAAAAGGTTAAAAAAAAAATAATAATTAAAGCTTAATTTATGTGTACAGATTTGCCTTACCAGCCAACTTGACACTGAAAAATTTTGAAGGCTTGGACCTTGGCACAATAGATAGGGTTAGTGAATGAAAGTCATTACTTTATTACTTTCATATGATTAATAATTTGTTTTATTCATTTTTTGTAAATATTTTTACCTAAAAAAAATTGGTTTTTTTTTTTTTTTTTTTTTTTGGCAGACGAATGACTCGGGACTTGCTACATATGTTGCAGATCAAGTCGACCGGTCTCTTAATTGGAAGGTAATAATGCCGTTCGACTCACAAAATTTTCGATCCAATATTTCTTTTAAATAGAACATAAAAAAAAAAAATCTTCCCCATTTTATCCCTGGCAGGATGTGAAGTGGCTTCAGACTATCACTAAATTGCCGATTCTAGTGAAGGGAGTGTTAACTGCTGAGGATGGTAAATGCACAATTTTTAAGCAAAATAGCCGCATTCGTTTTATATTTATTCCCTTATAGTTATGTTCGATAATTTTTTATTTTATTTTTGTTAATGTTTTGTTTAGCAAATCTTGCCGTACAAGCTGGAGTAGCAGGGATTATCGTGTCGAATCATGGAGCTCGGCAGCTCGACTATGTTCCTGCAACAATAATGGCTTTGGAAGAGGTTTCATTTATAAGTTATAACCATAATCATCCTATTAACAGTTTTTTTTTTTTTTTTTTAAATTTTTNNNNTTTTTTTTTTTTTTAATTTTTTTTTTCATGTGTCGATTTTGAAGTTCTTGTTAGTCGAACACCACAACTTCATGTTAACTGATAGCTCGAGTCTTTCGTACTTGCATTTTTATGTTTACAATCTTCATGAACTCGAAATCCTTCTGATTTTCCAAAGTAATAACAAGATACCATCCTCTGATTTTAGAGGCGATTTTGTAATTAGTAATTGGCAAAAAATGCATTTTTATTCCTGTTGGTTTAACGCCATAGCAATTTTAGTCATAAGGTTCTAACTTTTCGCCTTTTGTTCAAATGATTTAATATTTTGCTGCAATTTTAGTCCTTCAAAAGTGCAACAGAATTTTAAATTACATGACTGAAATTGCTAATATAAAAATCATCTCAAAGATATAAATTCACTAATTTGTTGCAATTTTTTTAGGACTGAAAATGCAGCAAAATGTTAAATCATATTAAATCACATGACTGTTAGAATCTTGAGGCTAAAATTGCTATGGCGTAAATCAGCAGGACTGGAAATGCAATTTAACCTTACTAATTCAAAATTTCTAAAAAATGCAGGTCGTGAAAGCCACGCAGGGAAGAATTCCCGTTTTTCTTGATGGTGGGGTGAGGCGTGGCACAGACGTTTTCAAAGCACTAGCACTCGGTGCATCGGGTGTTTTTGTAAGTCCCTTTTTCTTTTTCTTTCTCAATAAAACTAAATTTCTACAATATTAAAAATTTGATATACTTTTTCTTTTCTTTTTCTCTTTTTCAAAAATGTTTTTGCATGTCGGGTTTTTAGATTGGCCGGCCGGTCGTTTTTGCCTTAGCAGCAGATGGCGAATCAGGCGTGAAAAAAGTGCTTCAAATGCTTCACGACGAGTTTGAGCTGACAATGGCTTTGAGTGGCTGCCGATCGGTCAACGAGATCACGCGGGCCCACATAACGACCCCTTGGGACGCGGCTCGTGCTCGTCTGTAAACTGGCTCATGAGGATTAACTATTTCTTAAGAACTTTGATGGTGTTTGGACTTTTGGATTGATCTTCAATAACTTTTTGAGCCAACAATTTATTATTCCTAGTTGTATTTGGAATGAAACAATTTGTGTTGTAATGGTTGTATTTTGAAATTATAATAAATAAATGATTGAGGTAGCTCAACTAGCGTGAAGTTCAAGTGTTGCTACTACAAAATTTACTCTCTTTTTGTTTGTTGTAGATGCATTTTGTTAATACTTTCCCACAATAAAGAAAAGAGAGAAAAAGAGGGATGAAAAATAAGGATTTGATATAATGATCATCAATATGTAATATACGCGTTTTTTGGATTTGGTACTTTTCTTTGTAAATTATGAATTTCATGAACATTCATAATTTGCAAATTGTATACTTCTTGACCATACGATTATTTGCAAAATTAGACACATGCATAGTTAAGATGTAGGCGAGTATGTAAATTATGAAAGTTCAGGTTGCATTGTGCTAAAAAAAATACTATAAGTTGCAAAACCCAAAGCATTTGCACGTCTTCTATTTTTGGACCATACAATCATCTGCAAAAATGGACACATGTATGGTGAAGATATATGTGAGTATGAAAATTATGAAAGTTCATGAAGTTCAGGTTGCATTTTGCTAAAAAAAATACTTCGATTTGCAAATCTCAAAGCACGTGTAGTAAAAGTTGGAGAAAATTATTTACCCAGTTTTGAAATAATCACATAATATTCAACCCCATAAATTTGTAAATCTCAAGTTTCTTAGAGCGTGTTTAGAAACACTTTTCAAATATACTTTTGAATACAATGTCCATTTGGATAAATATTTACGTTTGATGCTAAATTAAGAGCGGACTTATGGATAAATTGTTTCTCCAAAAATCCATTATGTAGAAGTAAAAGATTGAGACTTTTTGAGAAATCCATTTCAATTAACTTCATTTTCTTAAATAGATATCTACAAAAGTGCTCTCAAACAAGTGCTTAAACTGCAACGACAACGAAAGAGAAAAGTAAGATTTACTATAAATAGAAAGTCTCGCTGTTTTGTGACGGTACACCAATTTAATTTTTATATTTTTAAATAACAAATGGCATATATCAAATCTCTCATCTCCGAAAATTTCAAGTATTTCCCGGCCATATCAAATTCCCAAAATAATTATAACCAATGCTTAAAATATTTGAATAAAACCATTAATAAGGTAGCATAACCAACAACAGAAAACATTCATATGAAAGGAAAAAAAAAGATTACCATGATTTTATGTAATGTACATCTTGTTGGTTCGGTGAACATCGCTTCATGTGTGCACCGAATAACTTAACGAATTTAATCCTATCGCAACGAAATTTATTGATAGGATTCGAGGACTTGATCAGTTTTAAAATTTACTGACTATGAGACGTTGTAAATTTCTGTTAATGAAGATCGTTTGTCTCGTCGAGATGCTCGTAAAACGCCGAGAAAAATGCCGAGCCGAGTTGGGTCGCATGTTGTCACGTCGCGGGGAGCTGCGGACGTAGCTGGGTCGTGCGATCGCAGGTTGCTCATGGGGAATTTTCGGGTTGCGTTGGGGGCTCGCGGTCGCTGCGGATCACGCGTCTAGACCGCCGAATTGTGCACCTTGATTCGCCGCCTTCGGTGGTGGTTGATCTCCGGTAGAGGAATTTTACGGGGCTGTATATATTTCACCGGGATGGACGAATAAGTTACCATTAGATTCCTATTGTATGACCTTGCACCTATTCTTGTTCACAAGGGTAGACGACTTATCGGATTCCTAGACCTAACACAAAATTCACGTTATTATTCTCTTTTCCTTGTTCTCGGTTTCGGCTGATTTGCCTTAAGAACTGGAGAGGGTGGTGTGTAAATTGTGTTGGGAGAGGAGAAGGAGTTGGTGCATACATAGACTACAATACAAACCCTAAGGAGATGCTAAATATGAGCTTCCCAAATATGGGCCTAACTGTGGTCCAAGCCAACTCCGCTCATACTCGAATAATATTAATTAACGTCACTATAATAACACTATTGAACTCTCTATTTAGCGTTTGAATTACAAATAATACATTCCCGCTAATTGCTTGGATTACCTCATCATGCTTAAGATTTAACCTCTGTTGGTTAATTTAATTACTGACAATTTAATTAATCAATATAGTTAGTTTAATTATTGACAATTTAATTAATCATCATCTATCTCCGAAACTAGTACCACTCAGTTTATGTTTATTATGCCGAAAACAAATTCCACCTACAGGGCTTGACATAATTAATCTTTCTGAGCTCATTTTGAGGATGTCATCAACCCAACGGGACATAATGACCATAGATAATCTCTACAGCACATCATGTACTCGACCCTTAATCACCAAACTACGGAGTCTATCGATCTACTATATAAGTCCTACCCTTTGTAAATCAAATAAGCAGGTTCCCAATACATATTTTTGTTTATAATATCTTACGGGTTAAGAACGCAACAATTACTGAGGTCTAGATTATTTATTTGATAAATATAATATAATCTTATGCGTTTAATACATCCGAGTTCGTCAGTCAAAGACCAACTGATTCAAAATCACACTACAACCTTTTACGACAATTAGTTCAATTTTGTATTGGCTGTGAACAATTACTTTGTATTTTACAATGCACCGATAATATGATCTTTTATTTGACACATCGAACTATATTATCTACATTGTAAAATAAATGAACTATGTTTGTATAAATAAATAAACTACAAACATGCACTTGACTATACCATGATCTTTATTCAAAATGATATTGTCAGAAACTGAAAACCCTCTTCTTCTCGTCGCCCCCCAAAGAAACCCTCTTCTTCCCGTCGCCTTTCTACTCAATCTACGCCTCCCTCTCGGCTGCCGGCCTCTCTGGTAGTCCCCCCCTCGCCGCCCGGCCCTCCCAGATGTCGCGACCAAGCTCGCCTCTGGAATCGGTGGTCATTGTGGTACCATTTCAATTTTGCTTTGGATTTTGAACTAGGATTCGCCATAGCCGTGTGTTGAGGAGTGACCTTGAGTCGCGGTGCTTTGGGTCTAGGTTGGGGGCGGCCCTGGCGGTCCATCTTTTCAGGTTGTATGTCTTGGGTCTTTTCAGGAGGTCCTCTCCCTCTCCCCGAATTCAACTCTGACGGCGTGCTTTCCGGTTGCCGCGGGGTGCAGGAGCCGTCGGACTGCTTTGTTCATTTTCGTCGGCGTTTTGGTGTGGGAAGGAGGAGTGATTTTGGTCGACGATTGGTCGATTGCCGGTCTCGATTGAGGGTAAGTCTCCTTCTTGCCGCTTGTCTCGGTTTTTCTTTTGTCTGCGGTCGGCGGTGTTCGATGGTTCGAGGGTTGGGCTCTTGAGTGGCTCAGGTTCTGTTGGCATGCGGTATGGTGGGGTTGAGGCTGCGGTATTGCGATAGCTCTTTCCCCGGTTCCCTGTGTTTGGAATCCGGGGTGTTCATGGTTCTTCTGAGCCTGCTAGTGGTGTTAGGGGGCTCGGTCGGCCGTGTTGTGAGCTTCTTGGTACTTCTGGTGTGGTGGAGAATTGGCTTTTGGTGGGTCTCATGGTTCGAGTTGCGATTCATCTAGGCTTAATTGCAGTGGAGGGTCGTTTATCTCAAGCGGTGGGTTTCCCCCGGGTTGATTTGATGGTTGTTAGTCTGGTTTGGAGTTGCTGTAGAGGGAGGGCTTGTGTTTGTGTGTTTTTTAGTTGCCTTTTTGCTGTCTTGTGTGGTAGGATCGTCTTTTAGTTAGGGCTTTTTGCCTGAGTGTTCGTGTTATGTTTTTTTGGTTTGGGCCGTTGGCCTCAGTTTGAGCAGGAGCAACTTATTATCCTGTGGGGATCTGCTCCTGTCTCTATTTTCCTGTGGGGAGCTTTTTGTTGTAGTGTTTGTGTATGTTGTGTTGTAGTGTTTGTGTATGTTGTGTTGTTGTTCTGCGAATCTTTTTTCGGTTCCTAGTGTTGTTAGGGTCGGGATTCTAGGCGGTCGTCGGACTTATCCTCCCATTTTACTCAGCTTCGGATTGTCTTATTCAACTTCGGGTTGTAACTTTGCACATTTGTGCGTTTTTTAATATAATACCCTCTATCGTTCTGTAAAAAAAAAAANNAAAAAAAACTGAAAACCAAGATTTAGCAATATACTCTAACAAACCTCCATCCAAATTATTCAAAGCAGCAGAAAAAAAAAAAGAAAATAAAAAAAAAAATCAAGAACTTAATAATTAAGGCACAGCAAATCACAAGTTAATATTCATGGTGATGCCTAAATAGAGTAAGGGGACATTGATTGGGCCCTGGCCTTTCTCTTCTCAAGAAACCTCTGCAGTGATCTTTTCATTGATGGGCTGCATATGGATGATATGGGCCCAGGTGATGGACATGGGCTGTACCAAAGCCCACTGTTCGATTTCTCTTCAACTTCTTTACTTGCAAGAAATATAATTGTCCTGGCCTGCATAAAAAAATAAAAATAAAAATATAATTAATACAGTTGAATGTATTAATTACTATAACTACTTATGATGAGTATGCATACCCAATGGCGGAGCCACACCTTGTGGCTGGGGTCAGCTGACCCCTATGGATTTTAAAATTTTTAGTATAAAATACTGTTCAAACACTGTTTACTAGGTTAATGACCCCGCTAAAAAATATTGCCGACCCCGGTGAAATTTGAGGCTGGCTTCACCCCAGCATACCTGAAGTTCTGTGGCATCACAAGAAGCGACTTCTCCATTGTAAAAGACAGTCAAAGGCTTCTCGTTTGAACTGAAAACAACACAAATTGTCGTGTCAAAGTCGGCCTAATCGTTAGACGTTGGTCGAGCAATATACGTTTTTAAAAAATAAAAATAGAAATAGAAACGAAGCTGCATATATTTGTTATAAAACGCCAGTAGGGAAAAAATGCAGTTTTAATTCACTAACTTAGAGTGTATCTCATTTTGGGAGTTTCTAGATCCGTGTCCTGGGTCGAGCTTCGGGATGGTGGGGAGGGCCGCGTTCTATGTTTTAAACTGTGTTTTGTTTTTTTTCTAGTTTGTGTGTGCTATGTGATTTTCTTTATTCTCTACGGGTAGTTTAGGCTTCCTTAGGGGATGTTCTCCCAATAAATTCAGTTTTAGGTTGTTTTCGAGTTGTAATAATGTGTTCTATTAATAAATGCCTACCGTTTTGAAAAAATAAATAAAGTGTGTTCTCATTTTTTCACTATAATTAATTGGGGTTCGAAATTGAACCAATAAACTCTTAAATTTCAGCCCATTCGGTTCAATAACTTAAGAGTTATTGGACCAATTTCAAACCAAATAACTGTCGGATTCTGGCGTTTTACGATCAAAAACGAATTGGCTAATATTAATGACTTAATAGATCAATTTCTGGCCTTTAAGATTTATAGAAAAATCTTTGTTTACATGCAAAGAGATGTTCATGAGATTTACGTGTTCTATAATAAATACACATATCGTATACGTAAATCTAATGAAATAATTAATCACAAAATGAAATAACTAAAACAGATCGACGGAGTTATAACTTACATGGGCATGGAGTTGTATGGTCTGCCATTGATGCAATCTGATGAAGAATGCGAAAAAACAGACGGCGTCACGAGACGGAGCTCCAAATTACAGTTTCTATTTTTCATCTCCTTTTTTTTTTTTGCTAATTTTTTTTTTTCTGGGTTTGTTTGATTTTCTTGTGAAAAAATGTTACTAGAGAGAGAGAGATATAGAATGGTACAATTAGGTCTGATTTATATAGAAATATATATGTGTGTGAGTGTATAAATAATTTTGATAATGAAAGGCGCGCAGCTGTCTTTTTATGATTTTTTTAAATATATTTGAAACACGCAACTCACACAAAAGCCAAAAGATTAATTATTTTATTAAAAAAAAAAAGTGGAGAAAATGAAGAATAACAAGGCAAAAACAAAGTTTGAAAAGAACACATGCCGAGAAAGAAATAAATAAATAATTAAAGGGAAAAAATAAAAAAATAAATATATTGTTTAACCATATGATCATTTGTGTCACATGTTAAATGAGTTTTTATTATCTCCAAAGACAAATTAACAGCTTTGTGGACTTTTTAAGTACGAAAATTATATAGTGTGCTATTTAAATTAAGGGAAATGCTGTGATCTCCACGTTCCGTTACAGAATTATTCGTCGGCGTTTGTAACTATTAGATCAACTATTCTCGACGGTTACATTATGATCTAGCGGGACAAACCTCGATAAAATGATTCCGTAATAGAGCTGTAGCAACTCCCTTAAATTAAACATGTTTTTGTTAGAGGTAAAATTATAAAATATATATATGTTAGCTAATTTGGAGAATTAAAGATGATAATTTTATTCAATAACTTTTGTAATAATTGTAGAAAAAATCGAGCACAACATGTTCGAAAGTATAAAAATTAGACAAAAATAACTAAATAAATAAAACTCACAAGAAATATTTATGATAGTGACATCAGATAAAATTGTCACAATACACATGTTTTCAATGATAATATTTGTGTTATCACTAATCTTTTCATCATGTATTGTTTCGTGTAGTGAATTATTAAACTTACTGAATAAAAATCATCATTTTGTCCCAAATTACTAGAAATATATTTTAATTTTTCCCTTTTGTCTATATTATTATTATTATACTATTTGGCGTCATTGCTAAGTTGCTAACATACAAAGATAGCTACCAATTTTGCCTAAATTTAGCATTTCATTTAATAATAATCAATATAAATATGTGACAATTGCATGATTTAACTTATTAATCACATAATTAGGCGTGTTAAACTTTGATATATAGTTCATATGATATTTAAATATGCCAGAAAAATAATAGTGTACAATCATTGATATGACTTATATGTACCAAATCATTTAAACTTTTTTCAATTTATATCATATCATGACTCGGGTATCACAAATTTATCGACAACTATCATTATGTTTTTAAATTTCATCATTCGAGACGATTTTATTTACTAATCTAATAAATACTAAATTTGACATATACTCGTATGTAATTAACATGCAATTAATATTATTTTTTAAAATTGACATCTAAAAATGAGACAATAAGTAAATAAATTAAATTTTGACAAATAACTTGATGGAACTAGTACTAATGTGATATTAGTTTAGGTTGTCTTATAGTTAGGCAGTCACGCCTTTTTAATGAATGTACCGACTTAATAATACAATATAAAAAAAAAATAAGTAATATTTCATATAAACAAAGATAACCAATGTTAGGGAAAATAAAAGTAAATAAAAAAATGGTCCCAATTTTTTCAGGATGATACCTATGACGGGCCGTTGGGCCGCCCATGGAAGGTGGCGGTTGCTCATGGTTATCGAGAAACCAATTTTATAGCGGACTATTTAGTTTCTTTGGCGACGGAAGGTCCGGTAGGTCTTCATCGTTTGGATTCTCTTCCGTCAGGGACGAGCATCTGATTACATCATGATATGATAGGTTGCCTTATTCTCGGAATGTTCTACGATAATTTTGTTCTATAGGTGTTGCCTCCTTTACTTGTACCAAAAAAAAAAAAAGTGTCCGTTCAAATTTATCCACATTTGATTGCGGCCTAAATTGACACGTGGTTTAAATGTTGAAAAAAGAGGTGTATTTTCATGTACTACATGAATGCGTTTTCCTACATCACGAGCTTTTGATGGGTCTTTTTATGATCAATCAATAGTGCTTTCCTAACTTTTATTTTTATTTTTATTTTATGGGATTTTACATATCATTTATTAAATATTATAAATTTGTCCCCCTTCAGTTTTTTTTTTTAATTATTTTTTTTAAAGAAAGATATTACACATGAACCAGTTCGGCTGCTATTATTCTTATAGAAATCGAAAAAACAAAACACAAAATAAAACATCCACTAGAAAATCGTAGTTAGTGTAGTTTGTGAATATAAAAAATAAGGTTTAAGGAGAATGAAAAAAATGAAACAAAAATCAAAGTCGAAGCACGTAATAAATATGTTCTCCTTAAGACAAAATTGTCCCGTAAAATACACAAGGTTAACGGCACACGCCTCCAAGATACAAGGACTTTCGATTTGTATATAACTGTACTTCAAATATACAAGTCTTCGGCGAACACTACTATTGTTTGGAACTCTCAAGACTCAATGAAAAAAAAATCATAGACCACAATATGCTATATGATCTTTGAAAATTAATGCAAGAGCTCTCTAATTTTCATGTTATTAACGATTTAAAGTATGTGAGTATTTATAGATATAGGAGAACACCTTCAAGAGGTTTAAGTGCTAATAGACACCTTTTGAGACGTACCGGAATGAGAATGGACACATCTAGAGACCAAAAGTTAGCTTCTAGTCACCAAAGGTTGACCTTTCGGTTTCCGCAGCCTGCTGCGTGCCCGCGCGCCGCGGGCTCGTACGAGCTCATACGGACTCGGAATCAAGTTTTGTTTTTTCCTACTCGTCCCCAACGAGCCACTCTACAATTCTAGCATACATAATTCATGATTATGCCTCGTTTAATTTGTCCAAACCTTTATCAAAACATAATATCTTACGAATCCAATAATCTGAGTTACTTAAACTCATTGCTTTAACTTTATATTTCCCACATATATAACTTAGAATTAATTTCTCATTCACTTTATAATAATTTCGAGAATTTTTAATAATATTACATGTTCTTTTACATTTTTATCCT